TATTTTATTAACTAGCTCAGTGGTCGGCAAACCGTGGCTCGAAAACCAAATGTGGGTCTTTGGCTCCTTGAGTATGGTTCTTCCTCAAAATAGCACATGCGGGCGCGAGCACGTAAAAGCAAGAAAAGCACTGTCATTTAGTACTAAATATCCTGTCGGTGATGCAAGAAAAAAAGCAGTTGAGGGCATTTAGAAGAAACAACAAAAATCAAGTTCTGTATTTAATTACTGGATGATATCTTCCATTAATGCTTATATTGCAAGTTTTGTGATTAATCAAGGGATTGCTAAAAGAGAAAAAACATATACAGACGGCGAATACATAAAGAGTTATTTTATAAATCCATCTGAAGAGCTATTTCGAGATTTTAAGAAAAAAGCGGATATTTAAAAAAAAAAAAAAAAAATTAAAGAGTTACCATTATTTGCTAAATTGGTGAACGAGAGAATAGTCAAAATGTCTTCGAATATAACCAGTCAGCAAGTCGAAGATCTTAAATTGGTTTCAGCTTTATCAATAGCACTTGAAGATTCTTGTGACATAAATGATGCAGTGCGAGTTTCACTTTTTGTACGATTTATTTCACCAACAGGTCCCAAAGAAAAACTTTTAGGACTATTGCCACTCAAAAGTCGAACACGTGGAGAAGAAATTCTGTAATTGGATGCATCGAAAAACATCATATTCCACTCAATAAAACTGTCTCACTTGCAAAAGACGAGGCGAAAAGTATGACCGACTTAAAAAACGCGTTTGTTGCTATTTTGGAAGAAAAAAAAAATCACTCACGAGATACTTACTTACCATTATGTCATTCATCAAGAAGTGTTGTGTCCGCATACATTTCCAGAAGAAATTTGAAAGTTATGGAATTATTGATTAATGTTATCAACTCCATTATAGCTAAGACTCTTAATCATCGCCAGTTTAAAGAATTTTTAGTTGAAATGGAGAGTGAGTACGCAGATCTGCTGCTGCATAACAAATTACGTTTATCAAGAGGGAACGTTTTGAAACGTTTCGCGTTCTTATTAACAGAAATTAAAGCATTTCTCCTCGAAAATGATGTTAATTACCCAGAACTAACGAACAATCAGTGGATCCCAAAAATTTATATGGCAAACGTTACGCTTAATCAAAAACTACAGGGACAAGGAAACACATTTTCTTCGATGTTAGAAGAAGTTATTTCACTTGAGAACGAATTATCTCTTTTGCTCAAAATTCTGAAAGAGAAACTTTGATTCACTTTCCGAGCCTGTTGAAACATCGACAAGAAAATCATTCTGATCCTGACATTCTCTATTTCAAAACAACAGTTTTAAATATCAGAGAAGTTTTCCTCAACGGGTTTCAGGAGTTCAGAAACAATAAAGCGACTTTAGCCTTTGTTAAAAAAAAAAAAAAAAAAAAAAAAAAAAAAACCCTCTTCCTACTACTTTAACAGAACTAAATTTTTCTCTCTTTAATATTAAGATTGGTAACTTTAAAATCCAGTTGCTGGATTTAAAAAATTAGGAATTATGGTGCTCGAAATTTAAACGCCTTTGAGCTGATATAGAAACATTGGAGAAAAACAAATGTGAGCTCAAGTTCACAGCACAAGTGGTATGTTTTGAAATACCTGGAGAAGGAAGGAATGTTGATTTTTAACACATGGAAATAGTATTCCTGACTCATATAATTAGCTGAAAAGTTTAAAAGCGTCATTTTAGTGTTGACAACAATTTTCAAAATTGCGCCAAAGCCGTACCTTATACTATACTAGTATTTTACCAACTTTTAGAACCAGGAAGATTCTTGAAACGTTCACTATATAGGGTTAGATGTCCTCCTGATTCGAAGCAACTCTTGAATTTAAACACTGGCTGTTTATTAACCGAATAAATCATTCAGGTCCCGCGTTAGGCTGCCAATTTATAACCAGGGGGCCATATATCTAAGCATTGTTAGCTTCTGTTATTTTAGGACAGTTACAGTTTTTTCTAAAAATATTTTTAAAATTTTATCTTGCTATTCCTTTTACTATTTAAAAATATCTGTCTTGTCTTTATCTATTAAAATATCTACGCGCTTGAAAGCCGTGAGGTTACCTAGTTACAGCTTCTTATCTGAAAATAATCTTTCAAAAGGGACTGGAGAATAAATAAATAAATCTAAAAATGAAAAATTTTTAAGTTTAATTGAATAACTGAACAAATAGGACACTGTATTAAAAGATTATGTAAACATAATTTAAAATTTGAAGAAATGAGCTGCGTATCATTTGCGCATGAAGACAAAGAAAATAACGACTTTAGGTGATGAATAGCTTCATAAACTTTAAACGTGTACAAAATCTCAATAAACTGCAGCATATAAATTGATTTTATCCTTATATTTCCAACACAGAGAAAATATAAATAATAATTAGACTCGTCAAATGTTACATACAAGAAATTATCTATTAATGAATATTATTTTACGGTAGGATACGAACTGCGCTAAATTTAATTGAAGACCCCTTTCTTATCTAATCAGAAGATCCCCTTCTTAGTGCCAACTGCCCTACAACGACAATAGCCAGCTTTTCCATCCCCCACCTTGCATACGATGGGAGAATGAACAAAGATAATAAAGAACCGCTCCACGTTTTCCTGTCCCCCTTTTTCTAAGAACCTAAATTCCCAAGAAGATGGGTGCTACATAAAATTTATTTATGACCATTTATGGGTCATTTATACCCATAAATGGGACATTTTATTGAAATTACAAGCCTTTATTTTCATTTATCAAATATTGTAAAAATTGTGCATACAAAACAAATATTAATTCAAAATCTGGTATATGCTAAAGTAAAAATGAATTTTTTTACACTCATTTTAAAGTTTCGTGATGCTTAAAAGAATAATGAGCCAGGTCTTGTTTATTCTCTATAAGAATTAAAAATTTTCTAAGTTGTAGATTTTAGCTGCTGATATATATATATATCAGTTTTGAATAATAAAATTGATAGATTAATGACATACATAATACTGATACATATTCAACCTATCAAAATATCGGATTTGTAGCACCTTAAATAAGTTTTCTTGTCTAGATAAATCTTAACAAATCTTCTTAGTAGAATGGTTTTAAATTTCAAATTTACCATTTTAGGTAAACATTTCTAATTGAATTAAAAAATTATCTTTATTAAATGTAAAATTGAATTTCTTAAGTGGTTCTAAATTCACTCTAATATTATTGTAATATATACCTTATTAAGCTTTCCATTTTTAATCATTGAAGTTAATTAAATTTCTTACAAACAAATTCCATATTTTAATATTAGAAACATTTAAATATTTATTCTGTTTACCAGTTACTCTACCTGATATACTTTGGCATACATTTAATTTCTAATACATATTTAATTAATAAACTGATAATTATGAGCATTTGCGGAATTTTCATAATTAACAGAAAATATTCGAACTCCCTTATATTCATATCTTCGGATTTTCAATTCCCTTTTAATCCATTCCTTTTTCACATATTGTTGCATTGTATTCAAGTTTTCATGTATGTATAATTTATATATTTTGTATTGTATTTATGCCAATTTATATTTAAATGATAATTTTTACAAATTCTTGCGTCATGACTCTAGTTAACAGATGTTTTTAACACCTTGGTAAAGCTTAATCATCAGCTTATTTTCCAACCTAGTTTCAGGCTGAACTATTTGTAAAATTAATTATTTGAAATTATTTGTTAACAAAGATGGTCGCTAAATCACGCTAATAATATTTATAACTGTTATTATTTATAATGCAATGAGTTCATGTGATTTATAATATCATTCATTTATAATTTTTTCCAGCAGTATTGAAATTAACAGCAGATACTGATAATGCTTTACATTTAGATTACAATGATTTAGATTGTCATTGCCTTCTTCGTTGATGCTTTTATGTTACATTCTTAATATATCATAATGGCGTACAGATAAGCAACTATGCATACCTTATGACAAGTAGTCATATTTTTAACCAGTGTATTTTAATTCCTGTTGACTATTAGTACATTATTCACTTGTTTCATAAGTGCAAATATTTATTTTTTATGCAAATGTACGTAAAATAGCAATAAAACTTTAGTTATGCGGAGCTCCTGATCGATTGTTTGTTTCAAATTGAATGAAATTAAGCTTAATATTACTGTTAATTGGCTTAATTACTGTTAACATATTAATTTAATAATATGTTTCTAATATTAATTTCCTTATTTTATTTCAACTAAAATAGAAATGGGTGGTGAGTGAGTAGTAAGCACCCGTAACCGGTAGCCGGAAGTGACATCACAGAAAACGGGCGTGATCTCCGTCATCTTTGATCACATGAGAACAAGAAGTAACGTAGTTGGACTGAATGACGTAGACGGAATGACGTCATCAAAGTTTCGTTGTTCTTCTGTGGCAACGACCCTATTTTCCAAAGTTTTTATTTTTTGTGGCAACGACAATATTTGTTTATGTTTATGGCAACGAGCTCTTAACCACGTGTTTGGAATGACATCATCCATTTCTTGTTTGGGCATGTTGTCTCACAAAGATGGCGTCTGCCGTATCACACCTTTATATGCCTGCGCTCAGGTGTATGGATATTTTTCTGTGGACCAATCAGATTCTTTGAAACATGACCTTACCGTTTCTTAACCAATCACCGTTCAGAAGAAATAAAGAATTCCTACCCAATATAAGAGAAAACGAGAGACTATCTCGAGAAACGGTCCGCATTTCTTTCCTTGCTGTCGGCCTTGAGTGTACGTACCTGCTTTTGCTTCTTCGACCACCGTCTATCATTCTTCACAGCTTTGAATGAATCAGCCACGAAACCACAACGCACTAGAAGTAACTTTTTGAGTATACTGTATACATTTTGAGTATACTTTAAGTATACTGTTTTTAAACTTTTAATCTCTTTTAAAAATAGTTGGAATTTGCAATGTGTGCTTAATCTGCCTCTACTTTTTTCAGATGGAAAAACCTATTTGAGAAAGAACCTATGCCTTTGAACGATAAAGTGTTGAGCCATGAAGATCTTGTTCGCACCCATGATGCTTCAAGAGAATCAGCTAGCTCTTGTGCCAAAAGAAAAGCAGAAGAAACAACCCATTTCGAGAAAAAAGTAAGTTTGCGAAAAGTTTAAAGTTTATATTGTATGACACCCCATTTTTTAATGTATTATATACTAACTGACTTAATTTTTTCTTTCAGCGCAAAGGACTTTTTACTCAAGACGCTTTTCCAGAATTACAAGGGAAAAGTGACTGTGCACATTCGAGAGTATCCCAAATATGGTAAATCTTATTATCCGACAAGACGAGGAGTGAACTTTGAGCCAAGGTGTTTGAATATTCTCGCAACCAACATGACAGTGGACAAACAAGACCTGCTGACACTCAATATGGAGTTGCTTACACATATGAAATAAAATTTATTGTTTAGTTTGTTGCAAATATATATGTGTAGTACTTTTATTTCATTTACAATTTGTTTAGAATTTTACGCGAATGAAAAGAATTATTTAACTGTATAAGATTTGATGAAAGATAAATCAAACAACAGAATTCTATCACTTGCAGTCAAGAGAGTGTTTGATGTAATAACTCTTATATATTTTTGATAGTTTTACTTATTTTCTTTCATTTATGAATTACTACTTAGTTCTTTTCAAAACTATTTTTCTGTGCTCTATGTCCGGATTTCAGTTTCACGCAATGCGTGCTCCGTATAGGGTATATTATGCCTAATAAGCTCATGATATGAAAGAAATCCAAATTCTCTCCGCATTTCTACTGTATTTTTTAAAATTTCAATACCTAAGAACCTGACTATAGAAATCTTTTCCATGATTTAATATCTTATACTATAAGATCTATCTCTGTTATTTTACATAAACTAAATTACATCCTACAATGAACCTGGTGAGTTCTCGCACAGGCGTGAATTAAATACAAACACAGAAGAAGGGTGAAAATAACCCTTTATTAATTCAAACTAATTAACAGTAAGGCACGGACTTCGTGCGTTACAAAGACACCGACCACTTGCTGTGGAAACTAAAACGTGGAATATAATACAAGTCAACCTGAAATAAATAGCGCTGAACACTGGTAGTTCGGTCTTATCAGAGTTATCGGTTCAAGTCCCGGCGAATGGGCTGGTTGCATGGGCGTTTCCGTGGTTTTCCCCATGTGTAATGTGGATACGAGTCAGTTTCCCTTAAAAAGACATCCACGGGGCATCCCTCCATTTCCGTGTACTGCCTAATCTCGGAGCACGTAATAAATGAAAAAAAAAAAAAAAAAAAACACCTGAAATAAATAGTGCAAGAGGGCACTTAAGTTGACGACTAAGAGGTGGACTCACAGGAATCTAACCGACGTGATACTAATCTGATAAGGCCAAGAGGCTTACTAACGTGATCGCGAAGTAACAAGGAAACGTGCGCTTGGCTAGCGAAACAAGCTCTGAAAAAACTGAGGTATTCACACGTTTAAATAGCACTTCACTTAACTTTAAATTTACATCCTGGCAAGAGAATTTGAGGGGAATTTGAGAAGTTTAGAACAGGTAATCAAATTTAAAATAAATTTGTTATGTAAGATAAAGAAAACCCTATAATTTCCCTTGCCAGAATTTAACTATCGAATAACAAGGCTTTAAAAGCCTGGATAAGATAGCTAAATTCTAAATCTACATGTGAGTTCACCTTTACAATCTTAATCTACATCTTAACTAAATTTAAGGTTTTCCAGATGGACAATGTGGCACATACTTACAATATATTCCTCTTTTAGCAATTCTTGTTCTGTCTCCTTTCAGGATACCTGGAAGGAGACAGGTTTCCAGGATACCTGGAAGGAAAAAAAGTTTAGTACGTCTTACACATATCTTACACTTGCCACACTTTCAATATTTTTTTAACAGTCCAACCTTTCCTACATTTATTCAATTCACAATTATGGAATTCTATTCAATTAAGAATTTCTATCCGCATTAAGACTCCCTCTTGCTCTCCAGCATTGTGTACTGTAAAATGCGAGCGTGCTTTATGTAAAACGAGTACAACATTTACCGACTACCCCACATTTACTTGTTAGAATTAAACCAACTAGAAATAGACAGACACCCTACAATCAAATCTCAGCCTGAGTTGCTAACGCTAGTGAAAATTAACTTAGTGTTGGCTGGAGGACCTAACATTTTACTTTACATTCCTTCTCAATTTATCTTAACTTTCTTCTAGTACTTTTCATAAGTAAGATAGACTATTCTTTCATTCGAAGCACAATTTCAAGCATACAAAATACTTTAAGTATTTAAGAATCCAAACATTTTTACATAATTAATTTCTTACTTTACTCGCTGAAAATAAGCATAGATTAATTACATGCACGAATTTCTAACACTTAACGAACGCAGTTCGTTTTCTTGATATCATACAAACATTTTCCTACCACACTCTCTACGACTAAAGTTAACATTTCGTTGTAACTCTGTGAAGATTATTTTCTAAACTTTCTTGCTTCTTATAAACATTTAAAGCTACTGCTACTACAAAAATTTTAAATTACTTGCATAATGCAAAAACAACTCTTTTTAGCTTTTTGCCAAACACAAAATTGTAAGCTTCTTGCTAAATACATAATTGTAAACTTCTTACTAAATACAAAATTGTAAGCTTCTTCTCTACATATAATAAAAGAAAGAGTCTGTGTGTGTGTGTGTGTCTTTCGTTTGCGCTGCGCGTAAGCTAATAGACCCACGGCTACGAAATTTGGTACATAGATAGATGCCAGTGCACCTCGAATCAATTTTTTTCGAAATTCGAATTCGAATTTTTTTTTTTTAAATTTTATGTTTTGTGACAAAATCGTGTCATTTTGAGACATAATGGGCTATAGGAAAGCAAGATTTAACTCTACACACTCCATTTTCACATCGTCATGAAACGTAGGCACTTAGCTATTTTACGAACTTAAAATAAATTTCGTGTTTCAATAAATCGATTAAATACGAATTTATTTAACAAAGGGAGCTTAACACCTTTTCAACGGGATTTTTTCTAAAAAAGTTTATTTTTAAAAATGTACAGTTTATTTTCCTTTGATTTTTGGACACGTTAAACTTTCATCCTTGCGATTGTTTTTACATAAAGAATTTTGAAAAAATTATAATATTTTGTATTTTTAAAAAGTTTTTTAAATGAAGCTTGCGAGTACACTTTATCAGGGTCAATGTTCCTTCTTACCTTCTTCGGGAACATACAAGGACCTGACTCGGAACAGAGAGCTTACTAAAGCTATGTTCACTAATTGTGGTAAGTAGACAGGATACACATGAAGGGTATACAAAACCCTTTATTTTTCTCTATATACAATAAGTTCCGTACTTCGGAATACACTGACCCGCTACTTGGGGTCTAACGTAAAAGTATAAAAATAAAACTAAACTCTAATTTAACTTTAGAATAATAAACGTGGAAGACTGGCCTTATATTAACAGGAAGCGTATGTAGTACAGAGACTGTGAACACTACAATACGTTTTAAAATTTATCAAGAGGATTAAAACCTCTGGCCTGGAAGGCAAACAGCAACTAAGTAACTTCTAAGGTAAGCGGCCTGCTTTGACTCACTGCTTCCTCTCTCTCGCTTGGCAAAAGGCCACAACTTAAATACTTGGCGTTCGCCAGACAAACTTTGCATAAAAACCTTAACGCTTATTGTTAAGTTTAGGATTGTGTATCCATAGATCGCCAATAGATGGCGGTAGTGTTTGTTTGTAAAAAGAAACTGTGATGTCAATTATGTATATGTATCAGTTCGTCTTTGGTGTGCGTGAATAAATGTTGTGTGGAAGAACGCTCCTCTGTTTATTACTTTAACTGCGATCCAGTCTGTTTATTAGAGATTTACACATATTTTGTTTATGGTGCATGCAAACCGGGATTATTACGAACCAGAAAATCGACAGACTGAATATTTCGAAAATAGAGGGCGTTCTTGAAAATTTGAAAAAGAAACGATCGGTTGTTAGACAATTAACTACGAAACTGATAAGCAAAGTCGAATCGAATTTAGCAAATAATATTCCGCTAAATGAGAAAATTGAGATAATCGAGGATTTATATGAACAGTTAATTGAGAAAATCAATGAACTGAAAAGTTTAGATTCAGAAATAGAAACGAAAGTAACTTCGGAGGAGATTGAAAATGAAAGTTACCTTAAGTCAAGAATACCAGGATAAAAACTGTTATATGGAGAGGAAGAATGCAACGATTTTTGAAGAAGAATTCGGAATCTTCTAGAACAGTTTATCAGAACGAAACGGCTAATGTTGCACTTCCAGTTGAAACGAAAACAGTGAAGTTGCCACGTCTGCAAATCGGAACTTATTACGGAGATTCGTGTAAATGGTTAGACTTCTGGAAACCAGTTCGAAAATACAATTCATAATCATAGTGGATTGAGAAAAAACTGAAAAATTTGCGTACCTAAAATCCTTACTTGGAGGTAATGCTTTAGCTGCCATTTCCGGTTTCGCTTTAAGTGACCTGAATTATGATTCCGCAGTAGAAATATTGAAAGAACGTTTTGGAAGACAAGATGTTGTTATCACTTCGCATATGAATAAATTATTATCCCTTGAACCAGTGGGAAACATTTCAAATGTTAAAGCACTGCGTAAGCTGTACGATGATGAATGCGAAGTCAACATTCGAAGTTTAGAATCGTTAAACGTTACTTCTGGAATTTATGGAAATATTCTCTGTCCTATCATTTCGCAGAAATTTCCAGAGGAATTAAATTTGGAATTTAATCGAAGTCGAAATATGGAAGCAGGATTTGATATAAAGGAACTTATAGAATTCTTAAAAAAGGAAGTTAACTGTCGAGAAGCTGCAAGTTTAATGAATTCTGCGAAAACGAATCAGAAACCATACTTTCGTCAAAATGAACAACGCACGAAAGTTTATTCGAATTATAAACCGAAAGTTCCGACTGCTTCAGCTTTATCAACAATTGGATATAAATGTATATTTTGTGACAAAGAAGATCATACGAAATATAAATGTACTGAGGTGAACTCTGAAGAGAAACGAAACATTTTGAAACGTACAGGAAAATGTTTTCTGTGTTTTGGATGTAAACATTTAGCTATCAACTGTAAGAACAAACAGTTTTCCTGCAAAAAGTGCCGCGGTAAACATCATGAAAGTGTGTGTGTGAATCCCGCATCAGCTGTCTCCAGTGCAAAAAATAAGGAAACCGAAACATCGGTGGAAATTGTTCAAAATTCTTCTGCCAAAACTGGATCTAATATTATGCTTCAAACGGTGTATGCTGTGGCTGAGGGCAGAAATAAGAACTGTATTGTGAGATGTCTTCTTGACGGCGGTAGCCAAATCTCTGAAATTCGAGAAGATTTATCAAGAATTACAGTTACCAGTGAAAGGAGAAACTATTTTAAATCTGCATACCTTCGGTGAAAAGAACGGGAAACATTGGCGTCGAAAGAAAGTTGAACTTACGCTCCGAAATATTAATGACCCTGAAAAATCCATAAATCTCGAAGTCATTGAAGTACCAGTCATAACAAATGCCGATATACGAGTACCAGATGTAGAAATCAAATCCAACCTCCAAGCATTCGGCATCACTTTGACAGACTGTGGTGGCGCCGATGGAATGAGTCATATTTCCGTTTTAATCGGCGCGGACATTATGTGGAAAATAGCAAGCGAAGAAATAAAAAGGATAAACAGAAATGCCGTAGCTATGAAAACCTTGTTTGGGTGGTGTATACAAGGCAAATTTCCTTCATCAGACTTTCAAATCCATGATGCGTGTTTAAACGTAAGTGTAGAAGAGAAACTTCTAAAAAGCGTCGAATCGTTTTGGGATATTGAATCTATAGGAATTAAAAATATTTCTGACGAAGAACAAAATGAAATGGCCATGCAAATATTTAACAACTCGATTACACAAAAGGGTAATAGATACGAAGTTAGACTTCCATGGAAAGATCAGAATGTGACTTTAAGAGACAATTTTAAGAATGCTGAAAGACGATTTTTAAATCTGATCGAACAATTTAAATCAAACTTGAACTTTTATGCGCATTATAAAGAAGTGATTGACTATCAGCTTAAGGAAGAAATCATAGAA